TGCTCGCAAAATAAATGCTATTATTTATAACATGAGACGATTTTAGCAAAAATATTATTTAGATGCAAAATTGGCATTTCCATTAAAGTTTTATTGTCAAATGCAAGCATTTTGCATTGTTAGTAAGTTTAAAGAAAGCAAAGCATAAGATGGTGTAAAAAAAAAGTGATGAATTTGTTAGAACAGCTGTTTGTGGAGAATTCACGCAGCGCTAAGTCAAGCCAAGCCACGTTTTGTTACGAGAAGGGAATTAGTCTCAGTCTGAACGTGTTCGTAAGCAAGTCAGCCCTGAATTCTATCCAATTCCATCTCACTGTCTCATATCATATCAATTTGTCTCGAAGCAAAACTTTTCATTATCAGTCATGAGCTCAGCAGTGAAAATGAAAACTTTCTACTTGTTTGTTTTCTTCTTTTGATGTACCTTTTTTCTGATTTTTTTGATCACAGAAACAAGTTAAACTGCAAGAAAAACAATCAGCATTTAACTGATTCTTTGCTTCAATTTGTCATCATTTAAATTATTTGAAGAAATTGCTGACAATTGACATTGTCAGCTGATAAATCACTTTCAAATAATAATATAAGCTTTAAACTGTATTTAGAATCAGAAAACAATTGAAATTTATTTATTATTCTCTGCAGTTTTTCTCTTTGATGCTTTAAAAAGTGTAATATAATCTTATTTTTAATATCCAAATAAAAGTTTTCTTACTTTTCTATTTTATTTCAATTTTAGCTTCATGAAAGGTCAAAAGTTACGCAAATCTTTCATTTCTCATTTGTCTTAAATTTATCTTTTATCTTTAAGACTGACAAACGAATCTCTTGGAGGTTAGCACACCCATCATTTACAGAGTTTTGATGATCAAATGCGTGAATTTCACGAGAAAGACACTCTGTGCTGCCAAGCAATGTTCTGAAGTGTGTAATTAGGCTAGCTATTTCTAAGGTTAAATTCCATCAAAATTGTGCTTTTAAATTCGATCAGCTGTTCAGTTTTCCATTATATGCAACCATTTATCGTAATTTCATTCATATTAATATATTTGCATATTATTTATTTATGTTTTCCGGTTTATGCTTTGCAATAGTGCTACATTTTTTATGCTTGTTTAATTCATTGCATTAGATTTATTCATCAATAAATCTTTCTTTCTGAAATGTTTGATAAAATTTTACTTACTGAAACTTTGAAATGAATTAAATTTGACAAATCTTTAAGATAAACTGCACAATTCATTTTTGTTCCAAAATACTTTTTTATCTAACTGTTTGTGCTTGGAAGTCAAATCTCGTCATAAGCTTTGTTTTTCACCAAATATTAGTAGAATTTGTTACTTCATACTTATGTTATGGGATGTAACTCACAAACACTAGCGTGTATAGCTGCGATGACAACTTGGTCTCCTTTTGCAAACAAATTTCTATAAGTTGTTGACAACAAAAAACTTTAGCAGTAACTATTACTAAATTATAAGATGTAAATGTAAACGTAAATGTATACAAGACATCAAAATCAATTTAGCTTATTAGTTTTTTAACTTTATTTTTCGACTTATTTATGCCCCTGAGATAGACTATATCTTACAGATCATATCATTATTATTTAATCACAGAATGAATGCTTTTGTACGTAAAAAGGAACCGCAATAGAGTCAAAACAGGTTTTTAAATTTTAAATTTATTAATCACTGAGAGAGTAAAACAGCATTTCCTTAATGAATGGATAAATTTTCTGTTGACTTACTCAAATATTTTTTTTTTGCTTGGAAAATTAAACTGCGTTTTACTGTTCACAAAGTTTGTTATTTAGCTCAGTGAGCATAGTAAAACTTCTGAATTTCTCAGTTTGAATTTTTAAGGTAAAGTACTGAATTGCATTTTTGATATCAAACAGCTGATTGATTGCATTTATGATTGAGATTTGATTCGTTCAAACTTCGACTTTTTACTCATTTACCAAAGTAAATGATTTGTGTTTGATATAAATCATTGAAAGTGGTGTGTTATTACTAAAAGTTATAAGTGTTTATACAATTTTTCAAACTTTTGTTTTCTCCAATTCCATTTAATTCCAGTAAGATTACATTATTCTCAATAAGAGGTGATTATCAGTTGATAATGCAAGCAATGTTCGCCTTCAATAAGCAAAACCTTTTCAAATCTA